AAAAGTGTTAACTTTCAATTTGCCTTTTTTCTTTTCTTTTTAAAAAGACTTTATTTATTTATTTTTAGAGAGGGGAAGAGAGGGAGAAAGAGAGGGAGAGAAGCATCAATGTGTGGTTGCATTTTGCGCGTCCCCTGCTGGGGACCTGGCCTGCAACCCAGGCATGCGCCCTACACTGGGAATCGAATTGGCAACCCTTTGGTTCGCAGGTTGGCATTCATTCCACTGAATCACACCAGCTAGGGCTCAATTTGCCTTTTTTCTTAACAATATATATCGAACATTTTTTCATGTGAGTAAATATAACTTCCAAATCATTATTTTTTCATCATTGCATAGAATTGCATTGTATGATCAAACTTTTCTTAAACCAATCCCTTTTTAGGAATATTTAGGGTTTTTCCTCCCTGCCCCCCGAAAAAGTCTATTACCACAGTTCCTACAATGACCTTATTTGGCATGGAAGCGTTTCTTATGATAAGTCACTAAAAGAGGAACTGATGTGTCCAAAAGCACATATATTTTAAAGTTTGATGTTGCCAAAACGACTTCCAAAACTGTACTATTTTATTCTGTTTTTGCATTTTGCTTGTATATTTTTGTTTATTATTATTACTGAGCTATAATTCACACATAATATATTACTTTTAGACATACAACGTAATGATTCGATATTTGTATATGCTGTGAAATTATCACCAACACTAAGTCTAGTTAACATCCATAAACTATTTTATATCCTCAAAGCATTCATGTGACTGAATGCTTGTTTATCTATAAACTCACCAACTCAGAGTATAATCAATATTTTTCATCTTTTCTAATTGCATAGGTGAAAAATTAACTTTCACTTCTATTCTCAATAGATATTATTTTAATGTTTTGTTAGAAATCAATGATATGATTGTTATATAATTTATTTAACCTGTTCCCTATTTTAAGGCTTTTAAGTTTCTTCTTAATTATTCCTATTATAAAAAAGTATGTTAATATCCTAATAGTCATTTTCCATTTGTAAATGGTACATGTCATTAGTTCAGTTTGAATAGTTTTAACAGAATTATGTTTGCTTTTTTTATCCTGTAGCAAAATCATCTGGGAGAATCCTCAGTTTATAAGACTATGTACACACATGTGAAGGTTTATATGTTTATGTACATGCTTGGGTGCATATCTGCTATTTCCTAGAACAATTCTCTTTTTCCTTCTTCTCCTTCATTGCTGCCTTTCACTTGTGGCTTCTCTTTTTATATTCAGGTCCAAATCAAAGGATTGATACTAGGAATTCAGGGCTATGAACTTTGTTGTAGTAAATCATTGTGACTGCCATTAAGATTTTTCCTAGTGTGTATACCTAAGAATGGATTTACAGACTCAAAAATGATGCATATTTCAAGTACTTAGCAATTACCTAGTACTATCCAGAAAGGTTGACTGATTCTTATTTCATGACTTGGAGGTAAGTGAGAAAGTCCTTGGGGATAGCACAGAACATGTCCAAAAATGTTTGCATTGAATCTACTTTCATATGACAACCATCACCAATAGACTTAAGCACCCCTAAGAAGGAGCAAGTGGACTTTTACCCAGTAAGGCAGCACAAGACAGGACAGGGTAATGGTAAGGACACAAAGCCTAGATTCAGTCAGACTGGTCTCCTCTTTTCTTCCCACCCTCTATCTATGTCCTACCTATACTCTGAGGCCCAGGTTATCTCCTTGAGGTTGTCTTTGACTAATTAGCTAGCTGGCTATTGCCTTTTCTGAGCTCCTGTTGGCCTGGAAGTTCACCCTTTCCTCTAGCCCTTTCTCCAAATGGCTTCATGTGAGGGGGTTCTGCTTTGGCAGTTATATCTTTTATTCCATCCCTAGAGCCCATTCTCAGGAGGATAGACCTGAAAAAGAGGCACAAGCAGGCCTTAGATTTGGGTTCCAGGCCCTTTGGGCAAGATATTCTAGGGTACTAGGTATCTAGAGTGTGGTTTAGAAGAAGTGAAGGCTCCAAGAAGACACATCTTGCCCCACTGACTTCACTACTGAGAGAAGAGAGCTTCAAGAGGAGGGCCAGATACTGACCCTTTAAAAGCAGGGCCTTAGGCAGAGGCCTTTTTTCTCAGATCTGAGGAGATAATGTCTTTGGGCATATTGCTTAAACTCTCTGTTTAGTTCCTTCACATATAAAATGGAAGTGAAAATACCTTCTTCGCAGTTGTTAGGAGCATAAAATGAGATAATGGCTCCAAAACACCTTTCGCTTTTCAGACATTCTAAAGATTTCTGGAACCATTTCCATCAAGCTGGAGAAAAACAGCTTCTATTCAGGATGTTTAAATCTTCTTAAACACAATATATTCAACTGTTTTACCAATTGCATGCTTCTTTCTTAAGTTATTAGAGCTTGCTTGTGATCTATTTTAGAGATTCAAGAAGAATAACTTACTAAGAGTCACTCGGTTAGTTTATAACAAGAGTGAAATGCTCTGCCTCTCTGACTCCACCTGGTTCAAGCCTACTTTGTTCCCATGATTGATAGCTGCTTGTATGTAGACATGTTAATCATTGGAGAAATTCTGCTTTTGTTTTGAGGTTTACAAAAACAGACTATTGCCAGAGGATGACTCTCCCCAAAGATATACGGGAAGTATGTGTTGTTTATCAAAGATTTGCAGAAACCTTGTGGCTTGGACTCACATCAGCTACAATCAACAGATGAAGCACAATCTTCCTCTGCTAGCATCCAGATTTCAGTGGTCATCAATCACCTTTTGGCCCTCCCGTTTCCCATTTCTTCGACATAAAAGAAGCGTTTAAATCTGTACTTTAAGACGGATTTAAGGGCCCTGGCTGGTGTGGCTCAGTGGATTGAGCGCTGGCCTGTGAACCAAAGGGTCACCTGTTCGATTCCCAGTCAGGGCACATGCTTAGGTTGTGGGCCAGGTCCCCAGTAAGGAGCTTGTGAGAGGCAACCACACGTTAATGTTTCTCTCCCTCTCTTTCTCCCTCCCTTCCCCTCTAAAAATAAATAAACAAAATCTTTTACAAAAAGATGGATTTAAGGCCTAGGTCTCCCACTTTCTCAGTTGGAGACTTCTTGATTAATAAACCTTTCCTTACTCCAAACTCTGATGTTTTGAGTTTGGGCCTTTTCAAGCATGGACACACAGACTTTGGATCAGTAACACATTCTAGGTCTGGCACTGGGGCTAACATCTCATGTCCTTCACATCAGTGTTCTCTCCAGCAGACCCAAACCATTATATCTTGGATTTTCTGGTACTCAAATACACATGCTTCCCAGAAGATAGAATAATGTGACAGAAGAACCAATGAAATAAAATGAGATACAGTGAAGGTTTTTATTCCTTCCACATAATCCAGTGAGGTCTTTCTTCTGCCTCACAAAGGGGCTCCAAAACTTATAGAAAACAAAAATACATGTTTATGTCTCCTTGTTATTTTTCAAATGTTATCTCTGAGAGCTATGCAATTTTTATTGGCAAATTTATGACTTTTACCTAAGACTGAATTGAGGTTGAAAGATAACCAATATTCATTTGAGACTTTACATACAGGGCTTCTTGCCAAATGTTATCATTTAGAATTCCCAATAGTCAATTAAATGAGGTGTATGTTATTATTCCCTAACTGAGGAGTCTGCAGGCAGCACATCTTCTTGGGAAATACCACTACCAGGGCTCTGGAGTCAAACATTCCTTTTTTCCCCCCATTTTGAATCCTTTTCCCCAAATGAAATCCTAACAATGATAATTCCTTATATTTTTAAAGCACTTACCATATGCTAGGCACCATTTTCAAGACTGCACATGCATTAACTCATTTTTTTAAATGTTTAAAACCTTTTTATTAGTCTCATTGATAAGAGCCAATAAAAGAGCCCAAGCCTCCAAAGTGGCTAAATGATTTGGCTAGGTAATACAGAGACATAAATCTGCTGTCACCAATCCCATAATTTGCAAGTGTGACAAAAAACAATGAATCCCAAAAGAGGGAGCCTAAGAGAATGTGTCCTTTGATTAAGTTTACAAGTATGAATTCTCCCCCTTGAATGTCATAAGTTGATTTGTTCCTGAGTATGCTTTAGTGGGCTTTTCTCCAAGTCTCTTGATTCCTGTCAATACCAACACCAAACTTCAAGTCTCCACACTATGTGACCCTTTCCAAATAAGTAGGAATACCCTTTTTTATTGCTGTTGCTCTGGAGAAGCTAATTCTGAAAATGAAGCCTGGGTGGCTTGAGGTTTTATTCTGAGATGGCATAGCATTTTCTTTTTAAATATATATATATTTTTTTCAGTTACAGTCGGGATTCAATAGTATATCAGTTTAAGGTGTACATAATACTGGTTAAATATTTATATAGCTTACAAACTTAGCTTACCTCATAAGTCTAGTACCCACCTGACACCATACATAGTTATTATGATATTCCTGACTCTTGCCTATGCTGCACTTTACATCCCCTATTTTGTAACTGCCAATTTGTATTCATTAACTAAAGTAATTTTGTCTTTGTCTTTTCTGACTATAAGAGATGTCACTAAACAAGAATATAAAAGTATCAAGAATAAAGTAAAAACTAGATTCAAAAACCTCATTCCTGTCCCAGGATTTTTTTTTTTACAACCCCCTGCCAAACCAACACAGCTTCGCAACAGCAACAGCAAAGAACCAAACTGCAGATGAAATGGAGGCTGGAGGTGGGGCCATGGCTGTAGGAGTTCTTAATGCTAGGAGCAGAAGGCAGGAAGAGAATTCTGGAAAGAAGTAGAAAAGTTTAGTAGCTCCAGAAAAAGATGCAACCCCTCCTTAGTAATCAGAGAAAGTCAAGTAAAAAAAAAAAAATCCCCCTGGGATACTCAACAACAAAAAGGTCTGACAGGACCAAATGTATAAGGGGGAAGGGAGCGAGGGCGGGCTTACTTATGCCGCGCTTTTGGTGAGAGTGTAAATCAGGGACCAGAGCTCACTGGTGACGTACAACTCACGTGACCAGGAGTCGACGTGTACAGAACTGTTAGTCTGGTCCTTGTTCCAGTCTGGGTACCAGCTTCCTTCTGCAGCCCGACTGCCGGTGCCTGAGGCCAGGGAAGGAGAAAGAATCAATTGTACGGAATTTTGCAGGTTGGTGTCAAATAGGTGCTTCTTCTAGGGTGGGGGGTGCCTAGGGCAGAGACCTGGTCAAGCCCACTTCTCCACCTACCAATTCCGTTTCTGTAGAGCGGAAAGTCCTCTGGGAAATGGAGGGTCTAGGGGTCTGGGGAGAAGGACAGGGAGACCTGTGACAATTTAAAAATAATCATCCTCTGCCATCTCAGACCACTTACCTAACACCTGCCCTTCCCCCAACCTCCGCTTAGTTCGGAAATAATCTGCTCTTCCTACTTACTACCTATCTGATGGGAAATTCGAGCTCACTTACGCTGTGGAGAGGGGGATAACTGGGGGAAACAGAGGTGAGAAAGTTTCGTAACCAAGACCCTTAATGAAGGAAAAAGTGCGTGGTGCTGGTTACCAAGCATTCGCCCCACCTCCACTCCTCCACTCCCTCCTCCCTTTCCCATCCCTTCCCCTCCCGTTTCCCGTTTGCCCGCAGATCTGTTGTTCAGGACACTACACAACCACTAGAAAAGACGAGAAAGTGACCGGGTCAGCACTGGTAGGTGAGGGGACTATGAAGCCTGGGGTGGAGGTGGGTGAGGGTGGGACTGAGGTGTGGGCCCCCACTCTACCCCCCCACCCTACCCTGCTCTCAGCCTACTCTGTTCTTGGAGAGTCTTGTGTTATGCCCTGTGCAGTAAAGTGGTTGAGGAGGGCCTTGGAAATGGCTGGAGGGAGGGACAACAGAGAATTGAGGCATGGAAAGTGCAGCTAAGAGAGGGAAGCCCTCATTGCTCAATGAGACTCCTGGGTGGAAGATATCTGATGATGGCTCAGAAACAGAGAAAACCAATGCTGAGATCTCTGTCCAGAGCACGGGCCCAGTCACCAAGCCTTTGACTTACCATCTCCTTCTTGCTTCCTAGAAGCAATTATATTCAAAGAAAAATAAGCAGGAAAAAAGAAAGGAAGAGGAAAAGGAAAGAAAGAGGAAAGGAAGGAAGAGGACATTCACAAGATGAAACCCTGTCAAAAAATGGAAGGAAAATCAGAAAATGAAAGTGAACCAAAGCTTGAGGAAGAGCCAAAATCTGAGGAAAAGCCAGAGGAGGAGGAAGAGCCAGAGGAGGAGGAAAAAACAGAAGGAAGTTTTAGGGAAAGGCTGATTCAGTCTCTTCAGGAATTTAAAGAAGATATACACAACAGGCATTTAAGCAAGGAAGATATGGTTAGAGAAGTAAATGAATTAGACGAGATAAGGAGAGTAAGAAACAAACTTATAGTGATGCGTTGGAAGGTTAATCGAAACCATCCTTACCCCTATTTAATGTAGGTTTCCTTGATTTTTATTTTTTCTGATATTAACATTGCCATATAGCTTTCTTTGGATTTGCATTTTCCTGAGAAATCTTTGTCCATTTTTCTACTTTTAACTTGTTACTATTAGTGACTTTAGATGCATCTCTTTGTTTCTGCATCTCATTGTTTATCATATTTTGAACCAATCTGCAAGTCTCTGCATTTTAATAGGAGAGAGAGCTTTACTCATTTGTATAAAAAGAGGTTCCAGACAGGATATAAAATTTAAAAAAGTTACTATGGAATATGTGAATATCATATTTTTAAAAGGAAAGGGTACGTTTGTATATTACGTATATGCACAGAAAAACATGTGAGGGATAAAAGACAAAAAAGAACATTAAGTTACAAGATTATGAGTGATTTTTAAAATTCTGCTTGCTTGTATTTTTCCATATGCTAAAATGTACATGCATTGTTAAAATAATAAAAAGTTTAAAAACAAAAAAAAATAATAGCACTTATCAATCAGTTTATTTCTAAGGCATAGGGATGCTTTTTATTTGTTGATAGAATTTTAGAAGGAAGTGTGAGACTCCAACTTACCACCAGAATTTTACATCTTTTCTTATCTATGAAATAGAGAAAATAATGATCTCTAAGGGACTTTGTAAGGGCCAAGTACAATAATGACTGAACTTTATCTGACGTGTTTTTCTCCATCTGCCCATTCAGGATCCCAACCCCCAAGAGATTTGTTTGAGCTATTTGCGAGGGTAGAGAAAGTTCTCAACTATGTTTAAGAACAAATCCAGGCCAACTGTTAGGGTTGTGCCACCTTTATGTTCCTCTCCATGAATCCATCTGTCTGTAAATGTCCAAAGAAATTTTTTCATTGCTTTCAGAAAGGGAGGGGTGGGGTAGAGAGAGAGAGAGAGAGAAAGGGAGGGAGAGAGAAAGAGAGAGAAACATCTATTGGTTGCCTCTTGTGGGCTCCCTGACCGGGGATCTAACCCACAACCTAAGTGTGTGTCCTGACCAGGAATCGAACCCATGACCTTTTGGTGTATGGAAAGACACTCCAATCAACTGAGCCACACTGGCCAGGGCCACAAATATTTTAAATAGTAATATCTTTGTATTTATTTGAATGTGTGTTAGTGAACACTGTGTAAGGCAAATGATGATAGTTGAGATTTAAGGTAGTGTTATAAATTTTCCTTTTCAAAATAATATTCTTAGTAAATAAGTGAGTCAATTTGAAGACAATAATAAAGTAGAACACAGTGTTAATAATATAGGTGGTATACTGATGTGGCAAAAATCATTCTGGTTGGAAACATTGTCTTAGCATAATTGATATAGGGTTAATATCTGGAAACACCTGTCAAGAACTGTGCAGTGTAAGATTTTACCCAATTTATAATTTAACAGGTTAACTGCTACTGGTTAATGGATAATAGCAGAAGAAACTAGAATCCCGGGTCAGAGACAAAGGACACACACAGAGCAAAAGTAGTTATTGTTATTACTCACCACAAAAGTAGTAGCCAGTGTTTCGTACTGGTTTGCATCAGTTTCCCATGGTCCTCATGTTCGATGGGGTGACACAGGGCCCATTATGGATGCCTGCACATGCAGTGCATTGTGTTGCAGAAAGAAACCCTGAGTTTGGAAACTTCACCCCTTTTTTAGTAAACAGAAGCAAGCCTGCTCTTGGTTCAGTGAAAAACATTACCTCATCCCTCAAGCCACTTGTTGCAAACACAACTCTGAGAAATAGCTTGCCTGTGTACAGAGTGGTCAGGGTCTCACCCCTTGGTATGCTCAGTTAGAACATGCAGGGATGCTCAGGATCAAGGCAGATTGCCTCTCCCAATAACAGTTTCTCTGTGCAATAAATCTTAATGTGAATGACAAACCTTTCTTAACATCACAAATTTTGATTTCTAATTCCAAGTTAAATTACGCAAATAATTCATTATACTGTAGAGTGTAAACAAGGCATGTGTAACTCCAGTTTTTACTTAAATACATAGGATTTTGAATGAATCCTAAATAACTGAATGAAAACATCAGCCAAGAAACTAAAAATAAATAGTCTATGGGGAACTACTTAAAGTTACAGAAACACATAGCTACTATGATGCACAAAATAAAAGAAATAGAGGAGCAATACCAATTAATTTACCAGAATGCTAATGACGGGAGTAATTGTATGCAAAATTTTACACTGTAAACTGACAGGAACGTATGTGTGTGTGTGTGTGTGTGTGTGTGTGTGTGTGTGTGTGTGTGTTTGTAAGTAAGCCTAGATCCCCAATATCACTGCTGCTTCTATAGAATGAAAAAGCAAAGCAAAGAGAAAAGCCAATCTGTTCCCTCTCCTAGAAAAGTTCAAGGTTAGGGTAAAGTTTGAGGGGTGTCACTCACAGGCAACAGTATCCAAAGGCAGATACATATTTGATATTCTGACAACAACATTTTGCAAGAGCCTTAACAAAAGCAATTGCATCATTTGATGGATAATTTGGTTGGGTATGGAGCATATTTTTGTGTTTATTGGTCATTTTTACATCTTTGAGAAATGTCTATTCAAATATTTTGCCTGAATCTCCTTTAATATTTTTAGTATAGTGTGGGTAAAGAATCTACTTAGAGGAATGAGGTAGATCCATGTGTACTACCTGTTTATCATATGTCAGTAAAGAAAAAATGAAGGACAGGTGTTGAAGTGCAATATATAAATACACACACACACACACATACATACACATACCTACAAATAACAAAATGAAGCCCTTTAGCTCACTAAAAGAAAAGAATTGCATTTTCTTAAGTGGCATTTCAGTATCTTACCAGGCCTCCTGCTCTCTGGTTAAGAAATAATTTTTTTTATATTTTAGCCTAATGGATAATTCTATTACCCTTGCATTGTAACTGTGAAAATAGTTTCTTGGACTTACATAGAGTATCTCTTCCCTTCCATAAACTCTGAGTTCTTTTTTTAGATCTTATGTCACTAACCTACTATTTAATAGACAAGGAAAGTGAGGCATTAAGAAATTGTCTTATCTAAGGTCAACCATTTATTAAATGGAATGTCTGCCAAGGTCAAAGCCATTGCTCCTAATCTATACTCTGCAACAGCTGGTATTTAATAAATAGTAGCAACAACAAAAACACCATCGTGCTGAATGAATTGCCATCATCTCTTCAAAGCTCATGCTCTTTCAAATCCTGGTCTCAGCTCCCACGTTTTTCCCTGCCTGAAACATTCTCTAAACCACTCCTCGCACACTTAGCCTGGATAACTCCTACTCATACCCATAATAGATGTTAATGCTTTTTAAAAAAAATTGTATTATATTATTTTTAATGTGCTAAATGTTTATTTTTTATTTTATTTTTTATTAAATTTATTGGGGTGACATTGGTTAATAAAATTATATACATTTTAGGTGTGCAATTCCATAGTACATCATCTGTATATTGTATTGTGTGTTCACCACCCCAAGTCAATTCTCCTTCCATCACCATTTATCCCCCCTATACCCTCTTCTGATTCCCCCAAACCCTCTTCCCCTCTGGTAATCACCATATTGTTATCTGTGTCTCTGAGGATTTTCTTTCTTTTTTTCGGGGGTGGGGTGCTTAATCCCTTTACATTTTTCACCCAGCCCTGCAATCACTCTCAGCTGTCACAATCACCTTTGACAGCTGTCAGTCTGTTCTCTATCTATGAGCCTGTTTCAATTTTGTCTGTTAGTTTATTTTGTTCTTCAGATTCCACCTATAAGTGAAATCATGTGGCACTTGTCTTCCTCTGACTGGCTTATTTCACTTAGCATAATGCTCTGCAGGTCCATCCAGGCTGTTGCAAAAGGTAAGATTTTCTTTTCTACTGCTGAACAGTATTCCATTGTGTAAATATACCACAGCTTTTTTATCTACTCATCTACTGATGGACACTTGGACTAATTCCAAATCTTGGTTATTGTAAACAATGCTGCAGTGACTATAGGGGTGTGTATATTTTTTCAAATTAGTATTTCAGGCTTTTTTTAATTGTTCAGTTATAGTTGTCCCTCCTTTTTCCCCATTGCTCTCCCATACCCCGTCCACCCACCCCCACTCCCTCAGTCAATCCCCCCACCCCACATTGTCTATACCTGAGTCCTCTATTCCTGTACCTTGACTTGACCCTTCCCCTTCTTTCCCCCATTATTCCTCTAACCCCTCCCCTCTGGTGACTGTCAGTTTGTTCTTTATTTCCAAGGCTCTGGTTCTATTTTGCTCATTTGTTTGTTTTGTTGATTAGGTTTCTCTTATAGGAGAAGTCATATGGTATTTCACTGCCTGGCTTATTTCACTTAACATAATGCTCTTCAGTCCCATCCATGGTGTTGTGAAGGGTAGCAGTTCTTTTTTTTCTCCTGCATAGTATTCCATTGTGTAAATGTACCACCTTTTTTGATCCACTTATTTACTGATGGGCGCTTAGGCTGTTTCCAGCACTTGCCTATTGTAAATAATGCTGCTATGAACATTGGGGTGCATATGTTCTTTTGAATTAGTGACCTAGGATTCTTAGGGCATAATCCCAGGAGTGGAATTTCTAGGTCAAAAGGCAGTTCCATTTTTAGTTTTCTGAGGAAATTCCATACTGCTTTCCACAGTAGCTACACTAAATTTGCATTCCTACCAATAGTACACGAGGATTCCCTTTTCTCCACATCCTCGCCAACACTTGTTTGTTGATTTATTGATGATAGCCATTTTAACAGGTGTGACAGCTTTTTTTTTAAAAAAAAGCTTTATTGAGATTTAATTGTATACCATACAATTCACCCACTTAAAGTATACAGTTCAATGGTTTTTAGTATATTCACAGTTAGGTGCAACTTAGCACGACAGTCAATTTTAGAACGTGTTCATATAAAAAAGAAACAACATACCCTTAGCTATGACTCCTCCCTTATGTCTCTATTGCTTCAGCCCTAAGCAAACACTAATCTACTTTCTGTGTCTATAGATTTCCCAGTCCTGGATATATCCTAAGAATGTCCTCATATAAAATGTGTTCTTTTACAATTGGCTTCTTTCACTTAACATATTTGCAAGATTCATCCATTGTATAGCATGTATTTCTTTCTTTATTTTTATGGTTAAACAATAGTTTATTGCATGGATATGCCATATTTTGTTTGCCCATTATTTATGGATATTTGAGCTGTTTCATTTTTTTGCTTACTTTGAATAGTGTACTATGAACATTCATGTATAAGTTTTATGAGGACAAATGTTCTTATTTCTCTGGGGTAGATATCTAAGCATTGAACTGCTGGGTCATACAGTAACTTTATGCTGAATCATTTCAGGACCTGGTGTACTGTTTTCCAAACCAGCTGACCATTTTACATTCCTACTAGCAGTGTGGAAGTTTTCCAGCTTCCCCATATCCTTG